AACAAAGGCTTGTTTTGCTCATAAACACTCATAAAAAAAAAATTTAAAAAAAAATTAAAAAAAAAATTTATCGGTTTTTTACTCATTATTGTTTTTTTTTTTTAGTAATAAATAATGACGTAATGACATTGGTAACTTGAAAAAATAACAATAGTATTCATAAAATAATTATTCAATTACTAAAAAAAAAAAAAATTATGACCAGAACAAGCCTTTTTTGTTTCGCCATCATTTGGAAACCACTTAACCAAATGTTTTCAGAATCGGGGATTAAGTTAAGAATAAAGAGATCTTCAAAACGATATATCACTCGACACCGCCTTCTATTTGAAAAAATGTTACAAAACTGCGCTCAGCTGTCACTTTGACAGCTGAAGCTGTCATTTGCATTTCAAAAAATGAAAAATTTGCTCACATATCATTCCAAATTTCGTTGCAATATACCGAGCGGTTCAAAAGTTAGAGGGGGGGCGACGGACTTTATGTCCTCACTGTATTGATTTTATGGGTGTCCCACTGTTTTTGGGCTCAGAGTATTTAATTTTCCTTTGAAAAAACCATACTACAGAAAATAATACTCCTCTCATTCATCACAATGGTACTTGGCACACGATGTAAAGTTAAAACATAAAAATGTTTGGTTTAGTCTAGCTCCGGCGGCAGGCCGTAGATAAAGTCCTCAGTGTACTACAAGTGAAAAATATATTTATAAGCCGGGGGATTTTGGTCTGTATTTACCAACATAAATAACCATCCTTGAGAATTTAATAGTAGTACATAATCGGTTTTTATATTCTTATACTTTTGTCTCGACTTTTGTTGCGTATTTAAAGCTGGGTAACTAAGGAAGTTGGGTAGCAATACGTGAAATTTTAAAAAGAAAAAAATCGAAAAAATTATTAGTTTCCCAAGGAATTGAGGCCCTTTCCCCGACTGGAGTAGAATTCGTCTTGTTAGGTTTCAAAAAAGGGAAAAAAGTGCTGGCAGCATTTTCTTTAACAGAATCAAAATGCAATAATTTTTTGCACTATGCAAGATAAGTGAGACCAAAGAGCCTGAGACTAACTTCAAAGCAAAAAAAATATTCCTACCTACTCAATATTAAAATCACGAAAAAAAATGCAACTACGTGCATTTTAAATTTGAACAATTCTACCAAGAAAACACGGTTGAATGCCGTGGTAATGGACTAATGGTACATTTTTTAGAAAACATTGCCGCTATCGGATGAGAAGTGGTACTACAAAAAGGGAGGAGCATCAATCAACATAAAAACAAAAATTCAAGGATGTTTCTGTAATCCTCGAAAAGGTTTTACGATAAATTTATCATTTACGTAACATGTTCCATCTCTTCTTATTTTTCATTATAAAGTTGTATTTTTGCCATTTCAGAATCAGCAAAATAATAATTCATAATCTAAGTAATCTAAGAAAATCCACAAAGTTCGATATAATACCAGTAGTGCCATCTATCCATTATGTGCATAAAATGCAAATATCTATTATTAAATGAAGGTACTGCCATCTAGTACCTGATTGATTTATTTTTCAAAGTATGATTTTAATTATTTCGCATTTGACAGTCATTTGTATTTTCATTGAAAGAAATTATATTTATCTCACTTTTAGCAAATGGATATATTTCTGTCTTTCTCTAACTTCTGATTCTGAAATAATCATTTTTGGCCTAATGACCTAATTAATTAGCAGTTTTTTGTTTTTAACACAACCTTTATTTAAATTATTATAATTTGTAAACAATTAAAATAATTCTAGTGGATTTTTATCTATTCTCTTTTATTCCACGTGGTTTTTCATTGTTAAGTGAATATGGTTTTTGGGTGTAGTCTTCTGATTGGTTGATCTGATTAAAACGCAGTTAAGTATAGAAAACACAGGATTGTTTTCCTATGGGGTTTGGTTTCTGAAACGTTCTCTTTTTCTGACAGTAGTCTTGTAGGCGAGTCATTTTTATTTTTATAATTTTTCCTTTACATTTTTAGATTCTCCCTTATAAATTTCTCAATAAATTTTACCATCAGTGCATATTATCATATCATTGTTAAGTTTTTACCTGATAAATCTTATCTTATCTATTGTTGAAATATAAATATTATATTTTAATTTGTTATCTAATTGTGGGCCTCCATTGTGTGATTGGTGGTTCCACGTTTTTCTGAGGTAAGTCAATTCAGATTTCTGGGCTAATAAATAGATACTGCTGTTCTGGTTTTCAGAATCAATTGTTAGTGTGGAAATGGACCATTTGCTCTAAATAGAGTCGGTGAAAACCAAATTTGTGTGTCCATCCCTATCAACTCTTTATTGAATCCAGGCAGAGGCCTGTATAGCCATTTTCTGTTTGACTCCTCCAATTATTATCTTCTTGAAGAGAAGAGTGTTGAAAAAGGGTGTAATTCTTTGAAATAGGAATCCAGACCAGACAGGTCAAAAATTCATTTAAAAAGTTTCAATTAAAACACTTCAGGAATTTTGACATATTCTGGAATTGATTGATTTCACCTTCAGGTTTACCTTGTAGTACCTATAGTAGCTACCTTGGCTTAAAAGGAAAATTTTTATATTTGGGGGAGAATCTAAAGATTTAATTTCTTAATTTTCTATCTGATTTTGTTCATATTCTTGCCTGTTATTGCTACTGCCAGAAAAGCAGCACTCTGCTCAACCTGTGAGGAGCATTTTAATTTAATCTTGCTGTTATTATTTATATTTATGATATATTCCAAACATTGGTGAACCTGATACATAATTATCACTATTTGGAGTCTGGATCAGCTGGAGTGACGTCACCCCAGCAATCAATCCTCTTTCCTGGATACAGGAAACAACAAGAACAGCTCCAGTTCACGAAAGTGAAACCCCAACGCCCATTGAAGAGCTCCGGATTGGAAAGGTACCATCGTCACCAAAAGTAACTGGGACAGCATCACATTAGCTCTTGTCCTATTATATAAATTTTATTGTCAAATATTTGTCAAACTATGAATTAAATACATTGAAATGAATGACAGTAGAATTAGTCCAGGAGATTATTATGCATTATTTGTGTCCCAGATACTTTTGGTGACGATGGTACATGGTATCAGATTCACCCGAACAACCAAGCTGTAAACTGTCATGTTTTAAAGAAAGTGGCGTTGTCACTATATATGTCTAAGTACGTAATAATCATAGAAAAGTGATTTATAAATTTTTAAATAGAACATTCACTGGATTCATCCCCTCCACTTTTTGTTTTAGTTCATGACTACACCGCTGTGCGCCCATATCGCCGTTTCTCAACGTCCCCCTCGTTTTTATTCTAATCTGTGACTTCACCGATGAGTTAGCTATCTTTGTTCACTGGATAGGAAATGACAATGACCGACATAAAATGGTGGTTATAAAAACCAGTCATAAAAACGCAGGTCCATTTGACATAATATAATGTATATGTCATCTGAATTAATTTGTTAAGTGCATCGTCATTGATTGTTTTGAATTCCAAGACTGTGAAAGAATTAATAAGTGCATCACAAGCAGCCGGTTTAAGAGTTGTTGCCACAATGTGTGACCAGGCGGCAAAAAATAAATCGGTCAAAAGCGAATTGCAGCCACAGGCCAGGGAAATCTACATCAAAAACAACACAGAAACAGAAATTTTGGTTTTGTTGGAGATAAACAACCTAGTGCCACTGTATGATGCTCCATAATACATGCTCGAGGGAATTATAAATTACTTGATCAAATGGAAAAATGAACATTTTCAAAAAGCAAATTGGAAAGTTTTTCAGTTAGCTTATGAGTCAGATACGCCAAATCATCTAGATTATAGACTATTTTATTCATTAAGTGATTCTCACAAATATATGAAAATAAAATGTATAAAATTTTAGTTTATGAAGTTTTGGAGCACTGTTTTATTTTGAAATAATTGAAATGTCAAACCAGATTCAAACGGCCCGCCAAATATTAGTTCAATGACTACACCGCTATGGCAGCACCGTCGGAAATGTCACTGGGCGACTACAACAGAAGTGAGCGTTCTATATCAAGAATATAAATCACTTTTATTTACGACTAATGTATAATGTGCGTATTATATTTGTGATTTTGGCAGTATAATGACATATGTTATTCCTCCAGGGATTAATGACGAGTAGCGAGATTAATGGTCATTATTCCACAAAAGTGTCAGTGTCAAACGTGTAGTGCTTGTGGATTTGTTTTGAAAATTATGAGACGGATGAAATTTGTTCATTGAAAATCTCAAATAAATTAATTTGTCGTAAATAAAGTAGAGTATACTACTCGCAATAATGGCTATTATTTCCTCGGAATGTTACTCCCTCGCCGCTAACGCGGCTCAGTTCGTAATAATCCTCGGGAATAATAGCTATCATTATTGACTCGTGGTATAATCTACTATTCTATGGTAATAATATTGATAAAAATATTGATAATAACCTGTGTGGAATTTTGCCAGGTCCCCTGACAAAATAATACTAACACTCACCTGGGACACTCAAATACAAAGTGACAGACCCGCGAAAAAATCGCACATCGATCTCAAAGTCAAGAAAAAAAAAAGTGAACGAGTGTCAGTATACAATTAGTAGACGATTGACGCGGTCGTGCCATCGGAATACAAAATCACTTTAGAAGAAGTGGAGGACTTGCAAATAGAGATGCAAATAATGTGGAAAATGAAGACCAAAATAAAGCCAATCATTATTGGAACAACGGGCCTTGCCTCACTAAAGATATCTCAAGTAACCGAAGTACACCCTAGGAAACATTACCTACGATCTTGCTTCGAACAGCGGTCGTTTGAAGTTTAAAAGTGTTTACTCGAAATATCATTCAACATTAATAATTCATCTAGTGTATCTTTACAATTTTACCCATAACAACATGTCAGAACGAAAAAAATAATAATATTGTAGATCACCGGCATCAAAGACTAATAATTAATATTGATTAAACATTAAGACTTACTTTTATTCCTTCATGAAAGTAACAGTCCATAATGCGCACTAGGTGTTGGAAGGGTAGTCCCTGGAATATCCACCAGATCCAGTCCATGTAGACGCGTTCTGCTCTACCGGCGCTACAGTGACGCTGCAGATGCACGGCTGCGCCTTTCTGGAACAAACGTCACTAGCTTAGACACCACGCAGGCAAATTATCATTAAAAGAACAACCAAATAATTTGCGCAACAGAGATTGATTCGATTTATTTTAAATCTGAGAGTAGCTTTTATGATCTCACGGAAATGTTTCATTATGGTTTGTAACAGCGTAAAAGACCTTGGAGACAATGCTATACTAGAGTTATCTAGATGAACGTTAACCTCGAACAAAATACAATACAGCAAAGAATTGAATGGGGCATATTCAAGAATTAAATCTGAGATGAGAGGTCAAAAAGCTAATGGCTAACCCATTCGCTTGCTTTTAACATTTTAGGAACTATTTAATAATTTTTGATAATTTTGTTATAGGCTAGTTAAAGAATAACCATCGACATCGGATAAAGATATAACTTAAGTACTTAAACTTGTAATTTTCGAAATAAATACTCTCAAAAAACTTTATCGTCATTTCCGTTAGTTAACTGGCGCAGTCAGTAGGATCGCAAGGTAACGAACAACTTGATTTTCAATTTATTGATTAAGCTATCAAACGAGGTGAATTAGTGAGTCCTGTGTAATAAAATTATTCGACTCAGAAATATAATGCACCCTAATTCTGTATTATAATCTAATTGAACTTTAAATCGATAAATGTTTATAAAACCCATACAACACGAAAACCATTGATCTATAATAAATTATAAACCACCTTGATATTTATTTAAAACAATTCTATTGCATTCGTAATAATTTTATGTCATTGAACCCACACACTCATGGAAACATGTGATGTTTTAATAATTATTTACAAGGTGTATTTTCTATGTTTATTTGTTCCAATAGAGATAAACTGCAAGTGTGAAAACTTTATAGAGAAAAAATATGCTAATTCTTATCTTCTTACTAATATAAATTTTAACAAATTCTTCCTTCAGGTGTCAAAAATATCGTCCATTGCAAAAAATATATGCAAATAAGAATAAATCTCACCCAATTCCTCTATTAGTTAAGGTGAAAAAATATATGAGAAGGGCAGTAAATTGCCATTAGATTTATCGTAGTACTACTAGTACTATCTACATTAAAGCACCAAGCCTACCAACTACATAAATCATTTCAATAATAACTAAACCATAGTACCCCCAATCAAATAACAATAATTATTATTAACAACCATAGTTGAACACGTTGCCGATGCGAAATTGGGGCGACACTGCAATTATTAATTACTTTCAAAGAGTCCCTTACCTTGAAACATAAAAGGTCCGACTTGATTGACTTAAATCGGCAAGATGAAAAAGTAATGGGAAAAATGTTTATATTGTTAAAAGCACATGAAATGCATTGCGTTTTTTTATAAAGTTGTTGTATAACCTTGAATAGGTCGGGGTTCATTGAATTCTAAAGCGAATAGATTAATGGATTTTAATCGAATTGATTTTGATTTTAGACTCGATGTTTAAGTATCCATTTTTAAGTGAGGTACTTTTTTTTTTTTTTTTTTTTTTTTTACGGATATGCGCACTCGCAAGGAAATGTCCTATCACGCTCGAGAAGCGGCAAGTGCGCGGAAATGTCGGTGTATGTTGGTCTTGAAACGGTTCAGGTTGTAACCTGCAGGGAAAACCGTCGTAGGGAGTTTATTCCACAGCGATGCTGTTCTCCAGAGATATGAATTCTGATATAATGAGGTTCTTGGTGCCTCTAGTTTGACAGTAAATTCATGGTTACCGTCTGTTTGACGGGTTCGCCTGGTAGGTGCTACTCTCGGTGGAATCATACGTGCCAACTCTTCAGAGCATTTTCCGTGATAGTACCTGTAGAAGAGAGATAAATCGCCCACCGTTCTGCGATGTTCGAGACCATCCAAGTTACGAGTAAGTGCGGGGTCATTGATCAGCTTGATAGCTCGTTTTTGCACGGTATTCAAAAGCATTAAGGTATGTTTGGGTGCTGCACTCCATATATGTGAGCAGTACTCCATAGTTGGTCGAATCTGGGCTTTGTAGAGTGTCAGCAATTGGCTTGGTGTGTACAGATGTCTTGTACGAAATAGCACCCCCAGCTTTTGGGAGGCCCTTTTAGCAATATCTGCCACGTGACTGTGCCAAGACATGTTGGTCTCTGCAGTAACCCCCAAGATGTTCAACTGACTCTGTAATGTGACAGCACTTCCAGATAGCATGATGTTTGGCTCACCGGTGCTGGTCTTTTTTGAAAACAGAGCTGCTTGGGTTTTCTGCGCGTTGAACTGTACAAGGTTTTTGTTACCCCAGTCCTCTATTATCTCCAGGTCGTTATTTATCTGCGATATTTGAGTTAGTCTAAGATGATGGAATTCACGTGCGGAAAGACCTGTCGGTGGTATGAGTGAGGAGACTACATTGCCATCGTCTGCAAAGCAATAAAGTGGATTTACTGTTTTATCTATGAGGTCATTTATGTAAATCAGAAAAAGAGTTGGCGAAAGGATTGCTCCCTGTGGCACACCAGCATTTATTTGGTAAGAGTTGGAGTTCTGGCCATCCAGTGCAACATAAATGGATCTGTCCTTTAGGTAACTTTCAAACCAAGTGCAAAGTTTCGGCGATAATCCCATTGCTTTGAGCTTGTTGAGCAGATTTTCATGCCAAACTTTGTCGAATGCTTTAGATATATCTAAGGCAATTGTTCTTGTTTCACCCCGCAACTCAATCGCTTTTTGCCATAAGTGAGTGACGTATGTAAGTAAATCGCCAGTTGACCTATATTTTCGAAATCCGTATTGCTTATCGTTGATAATTTTGTACTTTTCCAAGTACTTGGTTAGGTGATTGTTCACAACTCTTTCCATTACTTTTGATATCACCGGAAGTAGAGCAATTGGTCTATAGTTTAACGGATCTGTCTTTTTTCCTTTCTTTGGAATGGGTTGTACTGCGGCAGACTTCCATGATGATGGATATACTCCTTGCCTGTAAGACAAATTGAATAATTTTGCGAAAGTTGGGGTGAGTTCGTTGGCGCAATTTTTGAGTACTATTGCGGGAATGCCATCCGGACCCATTGCTTTGTTTGTATCCAGCTTTTTTAGGGATTTTCGTATTTCTCTGTGATAAAAGGGTACCTCTGGCATACTATGGGAAACCCTTTCAATGAACGGTGGAGGTTTTCCGTTTGGCACTGTTAGGTTGGAGTTGGAGGAAAACATTTGGGCAAGCATATTGGCTTTTTCCTCTGATGTTGTGGCTAAGTGATTATTTTTATCTGTAAGTGGTGGTATGGATGACTTGGTGAAGTTAGATCCAACAGCTTTTGCAAGAGACCAAAAAGACCTAGAACTACTTGGACAATTCAGCAACCTGTTTTTTATTCTTTGATTGTATGTTTCTTTAGCGGAGTCAATAGTAATTTTGCAACTATTTCTGGCTTCTATAAATTCTGTGTGGTTTTGAGCGGTTTGCTGTCGTTTCCAAAGGTTATATGCTCTGTGTTTTTTCTGTACAGCCGTTTGACACTGGCGGTTGAACCAAGGTTTTGCATTAGCTCTACGTTTAGTTGTATGTGGGATATATGCGTCCATTCCAGATAAGATTACTTGTGTTATTTCATTACAGCAAATAGTGGGATCAACTGTTTTAAAGCAAACCTCTTGCCATGGAAAATCCAGGTAATACTGTTTTAGGTCATTCCATTTTGCCGATTTATAGTGCCACATTTTACGAGGAAGTGGTTGTAGGCTTGGTGGGATGAGCATTTCGCACTTTGTTATTATAAGTTTATGATCGGACGAACCAAGTGGAGCATCTACTTGAATTGTGTACGAGTCAGGATTGGTGGTTAGGAACAAGTCTAAAAGCGCTGCAAATTCGCCCCTTTCTGAGATACGGGTAGGTTCATCGACAAGCTGCGTTAGACCACAACTTATGGCAAAAGCTTCTGCTTCTCTGCCTTCGTTATCTGTTTTGTTGTGGTGTTTCAGCCAGGGTATATTGTGGACGTTGAAATCGCCTAAAAAGACAATTTCCGCCTGTGGATAGTTTGACTGTATACTATCACAGCTTTCGGATAATGTCGCGAAAAAGTTTTGGTAATCGGTGTTACTTGGCGGTCGGTAGAGGCAGCAGATAAACTTGGTCGATGACTTTGAGGTGAATTTTAGCCATATGATATCAAGGTTCGCTGGTTCTAGCTTCTCCTCTCGATGACATGAAAGGTCATTTTTAATGTACACACAGATCCCAAAATTATGTCGAAATCGGTGGTGTAGGTCATAGCCGGGATAAAGATAGTTCACAATAGGTGTTGCAGAACTGATTTTAGTTTCAGTGAGAACAAGGATGTCAGGTCTTTGTTCTTCAAGATGTTGGTGAACTGAATTCATATTTGTACTTATTCCTCTTATATTGCTAAAATCAATTCTGAGTTGAGTTTTTGATCTTCTCTTTATATCTTTGCATGAAGGACCCCCAGGATCACCCGACGCCCGGAGATCCGAGTGGTCGGGTATTTTACCTCCGGAATATTTTGATCCTGGAGGCGCCATCATGCTATCTGTTACTCATTGTTGGAACCGGACTGCCAGCGCAGTAGCGGAACGTGGTGATACCACTTAGCGCTACTCAATTCTGGCATGGTGGTATCTCACCGGTCGACGCCCAATGAGTAAAAAGCGTCTACCACCTACCTACTGTTAATACTTGCACTGCGTGAGTGTTAAGTTGAAAAATGTAATCGATCTAATTTAATAATGAAGGAAGACATTCGTGCGACAATAATATTTATCAGTCTAGTAGGAATACTCCTATGATAGTTGATGATAAAGTAGTGAGCAGCTTTATATCCACATTGGCTTGGCCTTACTGTTTTTATCAAATATCAAACAAATGAGTCAGGGCACAGAACATCAAGAATTCACTATAGATTATAAGTATACGAGTTTATATTTGGATAGAAGGAGTTATGATAGCTCTACTGCCCTAGCTCTTACTTTTTATGGTAAATAGATAGACAGCAAACAGCAAAAATGCA